ACGGAGAGCGAGGCGCGCCGGCAGCAGCAGCAGCTCTTGCAGCCGCGGCCCTCGCCCGTGGGCAGCAGCGGGCCCGAGCCCCCCGGGGGGCAGCCCGACGGCATGAAGGACCTGGACGCCATCAAGCTGTTCGTGGGCCAGATCCCGCGCAACCTGGACGAGAAGGACCTCAAGCCGCTCTTCGAGCAGTTCGGCCGCATCTACGAGCTCACGGTGCTCAAAGACCCCTACACGGGCATGCACAAAGGTGGGCGCCCCGGGCCCCCCCGTCCTCCCCTCCCATCCCCTCGGCCTCCCCACCCCACCTTCCGGCACATTCGCTCCCCCACCCTCCCCTCCTCGCCTCCTCCCTCCACTTGCCTCTGCCACAGCATCATCCCCCCCATCCACCCCCTCCTCCCCCCTCTGGGGGTGCAGCTGACAGATCGGAGCTGGCCCCCTCCCCTCCTCCGCCCCCTCTCTCTCCCTCCCCACCTTCCGGCATCTCCTCTCTCTCTCTCCCTCTCTTTCCTTTTCTCTCCTCTCCCATCTCTCTCTACCTCCCATCCTCCCCCCCAGCATCTTCTCTCTCTCTCTCCCTCTCCCTCCCATTCTCCCAGACCCCCACCCTGCCCTCCTCCCCCCACTCACTCTTTCCTACTCCTTTGCTGGGGGAGCCGCTGGGAACCTCAACACCCCTCCCCTCCCCCCGTTCATTCGGCCTCCTCAGACCCCCGTCGTCGAAGTTTGCACCTTGCACTCCATTGCTTTGGTCATTTTTACAAAGCCAGGCCGGCGGGGCAGGGACGCGGATGCCCAGGACCCCGGGCTGATCGGTAACTACAAAGAAAGAAGGGGTGGGGGTCCGGGGAGCTGGGGGTGGTGGTGGAGAGCGCCAGTTTCGGTAGTTAAAATGGTCCCCTTTGCACACCCCCTAGGCCACCATCGCGGTTTGGACAGCACCTCCCCCTCCCCCTTGCTCTGTCCTCCCCCTCCCTGGCCTGCACCTTTGGCTCAAGTTAAAACTGGCTGCTAAGCTGGTAGCAGTGTGCTGGGGTCTGGGGCCAAAGACAATGAGAACCTGGGCCATCCAGCCAGGCAGAGCCCCAATCCTGGGGTGGCTAGCGGGGAGGAGGGAGGCCTGGGTGACAGCCCACCGGAGCAAGCAGGTGGGCTGGGGAGGCCTGGCCTGCCTCCCTACCACCTGATCCTCACTCCGTGGCCTCCCGGAGAGACTGTCCAGCGACTCTGGCCCCAGCCCTTGACTGAGCTTGTGAGCCCAGTGTCTGTGAATTTAGGCTGGCTTTGACAGTGTGCTGTCAGGTGTTGGCGACCGGGGGTGGGGATGCATCTGGGGCTTTGTGGACCCCCTGGAGGGGGTCTTTGAGAGGGCCCAGGGCCCTGTTTCAGTCCAGTCTGTCACCAGCTTTGCTTGCACAGGAAGCATAGGATCATGTTTGATGAATGAATGAATGAATGAAAGGTGAATGAATGAATGACCAGTCGGAGCAGGCCATAGGGAGAGTCTGGTGGGATGAAGCCCAGGCCTGTCACTTCAGCCAGACCCTGCAGCTGGGACCCTGGATGGGAAAGGAAAGAAACCCCTCCCCATCCCCCACCTCTCTTCAAAATCAACCATTACCAAAAATTAATAAATAAATAAAAATGGGGCCCGGAGAATCTAACCCCTGGCGTGGCCTCGGAGAGAGGAGGGGCCCACAGGGGCCAGGAGGCAAGCTCTGGGGTCCCTGGCTGATCTGAGAGCTTTTCCCACGCACCCCCATCCCCCACTCACATCCCCCACCCCCCACCCCGGTATGTCTGAAGCGCCCATTTCTAGAAAGATTCCAATGGGGGTTGGAGGGTGCCCACGTGGCCCCCACACGTTGAATGGAAAGGCTGTTGGCAAGCTCTGGGTGGGAGGGGGGAAGATGGGGTGCAGGGGAGACAGAGTGCCCACATGTTCAGCCCTTCACTTCCTTTTCTCATTTCAAAAATCTCCCCCTCCCCGAGGTGAGGGGTGAAGGAGGGGCAGTGGCCGAGTTTTCACCTGGGCTCGAGCCTCAGTTTCCCCGCTGTCACTGGAGCCCCTGATGAACGTGGAATTAATTTTCTGGTCGGAGACTGTTGGGATCTGAGGCCTCTTTTCCCACTTACAGTCTTCCTTGGGGGTGGGAGTGAGGCGGCCAGCAGACCGGGCTGTCCGAGCTTCACCCTCCAGTTCCTATGGGTCCTGGATCGATCTCAGCCCACATGCAGCATAACCAGGGAGGGGGCTTCACCAAGGGGGCAATCAAGTATGGAGCACGGGCCCACCCAGTCCCCCAGCACCCTTGGGTCAAGACCTGATCTTTTTTCCTGGTCCCCACCTTCCTGGTCCCCACCTGGACTTGACCTGGCTTTCACCGGAGGGGAGAGAGCTGCGGGCAGGCTAGGGTTGGGGGTCTCCAGGGCCAGCAAATGTGAGGGAGTCCTGGGTTGAGGGCTCTGCTGTGTGACGCCCGGTGAGTGGCTGCCCCTCTCTGGGCCTCAGCCAAAGAGGTGTGGGGTGATGAACTGGAAGAGAGGAGTCTTGAGAGAGGGGAGTTTGGGCACCTCCAGCCATCACTTATCTGATTCGGCTCCATTTCTGGGGAGCCCACAGGGCACTCCCAGTTGGTGCTGGGTCAGAGGGGCAAGGGCGGGGGGCTGTGGACCCCGGGGGATGGAGAGAAGTCCCTGCGAAAGGCAGCTAGTCCACCCTGCCAGAATCTTCTGGGCCCTGGATGCTGGGGTCCCGTGTGCTGGGGAACAAGGAGGGTTTGAAGGGGGGTAGAGTGGGGCTGAAGTGGAACTGGCCACCGGGGGTCTCTGTGACCCCTGATCCCAGGTAGGAAGGGCTCTGTAGCACTGCCATCATCATCATCATCTTCTCTCGTCCCATCCTTAAGCCTATGCTTTGCACAATCTCACCTCCAGGAACCCGTTTGATCCCCCACTGAGGTGGGCTTGTAAGGTTCAACCCATTTCATATGGAAGGAAAACCGAGGCCCAGAGGGGCAAAGACTGTGTCCCAAGACTGACCAGAGCTGGGTCCCTCCATCACCCATCCACCTCCCACTCAGGCCAGGATGAGCAGAAGTAGATATGTGTGATAAGGAGTGACAGGTTCCCCCAAGCTGACGGGGGACCCCCAAAGATGGCATTGGGGACTGGAGGGGACTATAACATCTGACAGCCACAGCTAAGGGTGGGCAGGGGCACCCCGGTTCCTAAAAGTGTGTGCAGTGGAGCTGGTTCTGAGGCCAAGAGAAGGCAGGGGGCCGAGCGTGGCCCCTAGGTGCTGGGATCAGCCGGGCTGAGGGAGAGGGTGGGACTTGAGGGAGGGCAGGAAGGAGGGGCTTCTCAGAAGGGGGCAGGCTCCTCACTGGCTCACTTTGTTTTTACGGGAGATAGAGGGAAACGGAGATAGAGACAGAGAAAGTCACCCCAGGGACAGAGATAAAGAGATGCAGGAGAGACAGAGAGACACAGAGAAGGAGCAGAAAAGGGAGAGATACGAGACAGAGACACAGAGACACGAGGGGAGGGAGAGACAGAGGGAGAGTTCAAGCCCCTCCGCCCCACCCCCCACAGCAACAGAGTCATGGAGAAAGATGGGGGGACAGTTAGGAGGCAGACCTGTGCCCCGTCCAGAGGGGGGCTCCCAGTCCCCCAGGGCTCAGCCAGGGACTGGGGGGCTGGGACTGGGGCTATCCCCGCCCTCGTCCAGCCCCTGCCAGGGCAGACCCCCCGACCCTCCCTCGGTGGGGGCTGAGCGCGCGCGTGGCGTGGCTCAACCGCCCCCCTCTCCCTCCCGGGGTGCATATTAATGTCCACCCTTCCCGGGGACAGCGCCACGATCGCGTGCCTGGCTGCCGCTGCCACCGCCTCGCGGGCCCCCATTTATGGTAATCGCAAATGTATTTGCATATTAATGACAATATTTGTCTTAACGCGGAGGTTGCGCCGGGGGACGGTGCAGGTAGGGGGGCGCGGCGGTCCGGGTGGGGGCCTGCGGTTTCCATGGGAGCGCCAGCTGCCGGCTGGGCTCCGGGCCGGAGGAGGGGGAGCCGGGAGCACGCTGAGCTCTGAGGCGTGAGAGTCTGACGTGCCAGCCCGAGGGAGGCGGCCTGGCGGGGGACTGAAGGAGGAAGCCACCACCAGGCTGGCTGGCCTGACTTTCCAAAGGAGGGACGAGGGAGCGGGCCCCTTCCTGGAGGCTGTGTGAGTTCAGGCCGGGCACACCCCTCTCTGTGCCTCGATTTCCCCTGCTGTCCCGTCTTCATTTCTTTAACAGATTTTCTGAGGCTACACAGGTGAAGTGACACCGTTCCTGCCCCCATTCAGGCTGGATAAGTGGGCACTCGTGTGAACAGGCATCTTTTGGGGGGTCACAATGGAGGGGGCAAGACATTAATCAATCCCCCCATTTAGCCACCATCTGTTGAGCGCTTGCTTGATGCCAAGCCCTGTTCTAACCTGTGGCCGTCTAGTCGTTTCTGACACATGGCTACCCCACGTGTGACAGAGTAGAACAGCGCCATAGGGTTTTCTCGGCTCTGATCTTTATAGCAGCAGATCGCCAGGGCTTTCTTCCACAGCACCGCTGGGTGGGTTCGAACCATCAACCTTTAAGTTAGCATCCAAGCATGAACTGGAGCCTGGGGTAAACAATGTTGGACAAAACAGATACAAATCTTTCCCACACACCGCCCCCATCCCAGTCTCATGAGGAGGGGACATCTGGGAGCTAAGAGGTCGCAAGAAATTGGGGTCAGGGCTGTGATGGTGGAAACAGTTGACGGTGACAACCCAGAGAAGACCCTGCCCCCTGTAGGCATGGAAGCCGGGAGGGCTTCCTGGAGAAGGCGGTCAGTGTAGGAGAGCTAAGAGCTTGGGGGAGACAAGTCTGATTTCTTTTCGTCTTGCTGGCTGTGTGGCCTTCGGCAGGTGTCTTCATCTCCCTCAGCCTCAGTACAGCCACCTCTGGAGTCAGGAAAACAGTGGCACCTTCTGTGTGGGGGTGGGGAACAGGGAGAGGTGAAGATCGAAATGAGATTTAAGTCTCTTGGCACAGGGCTGAGCGCATAGTAAAACTCGGTCAGCGGGAGCTGGGCTTACTACGCAACTCTAAGCTGAGACCTGAAAGAATAGTGAGAAGAATTTATCGACAGGGAAAGGTGTTCCTGGCAGAGGGAACAGCGTGTGCAAAGGCCCAGAGGAGAGCTAACTCTGGGACCTTTCAGG